AGCACCCTAAAGGAGTCCCTAAAGAGTTTCAGCATCGACCCAGAGTTGTGGGAGCAAATCACTCACAAGCATCCATCCTGGAAGTCATCAATACAGAATGGCCTTCAAACAAATGTACGGCAGAAGCAATGAAGAAACACATGGTCAGGAAAACAAAAACCTCTTGTACCCAGTCCTCATCACTTTTCTGCCTCTGCTGCAGCAGATTGTTCAAAGATTAGGCTTATAAATCACCTATGTACCCACCCGACCTAGCCTCCACCTCTCTCCTCTCTCTTTTCTCCTTTTGCCTTCTTTTCTCTTTTCTTCCTCCCCACTTCTTTCCCATTTTTTCCCTCTCTTCTTCCCCACTGCTGGATACAGTCATCTTTGCCTATGAAGGATAAACAACAGTAACTACCTGTTACCTAAAACCTTCTCTATTATAGAATCCTTTTGCAACATTTTATTTTTCGTAAATTATATTGTTTTGAACTTTCTGCTGTGTAAACATACAGGATTTTTTCAGCTCAGTACTCTCCCCACTTGTGTACATTAGGAGTAGCAACTAAATCCAATGAATCTACATTGTAAAACAGGCATGAGTTAGATTAGTCAAGCCAGTGGCCTTTCAATGTAGATTTTGCGGCTTGAATGCTCTAAAAATACAGTGATTAAAAACTCTTAGCATTTTTTATTAGCAGTTGATGAAATAATGCAGAAACTTAGCTTTCAGTAATTTTCCAACTATAAAATATTGTAAGGTACAATTAGATTAAAGGTTGAAAAATAATGGAAATAACACAGTACGTTGCTTTCACAAAGGGAAAAAAATAGAAAAAAACCCCATTCCATTTCTCTAAAGTATTTTACTAATCTGTCACCTCAGACATCTCACTACATTCTTAATAAACACTCACTTTTTTATTGATATAGTATGGGTCCAGGTCCTCCAGGGGCTCAGACACCATTCCTGGAGGTATGTCACCATAAATAAATGGAAGTGTCTTGCCTGCTTCCAAATCACTGTTTGGCTTTGGGCCATTTTCATCATCATCATCTGTATGTTCTTGTTTGGGCTTTTTAGCTTTTTCTTCTGCAGAACGTTTTTCAATAGCTGCGAGAGACTCTCTAGTAAAATAGCGAAAGCTGTCAGGTCCTGGTGGTACCAGAAGTGCCTGTGCCATCTTTTCATCCTGCAAATTTAATTACGTTTAGCCTCTTGCATAAGAATTTCCTAGGAAAGAAAAATTCAGAGATTTTAGGAAAACTGTAAATGAGAACCTCCCACCCCAAAATTAACCGAAAACCAAATAACTCTTTATAATTTACATAACAACAAATACAAATTTATGCTCTCTAAAATACTCTCTAAAACTTTATTGTATTAATGGACGGTGGTCCTCAGCCTTTTAGACTCCAGGCCTTTTATACTCCATCAGTGGTCCCACCCTTTTAGACTCTAGACCCCCCTCATTAGACTCAAGACACCTTGGAAAATGCTAGCTCTTAGCTTTAACTCATTTTTCAATTACAGAAAAATAATAAAATAATATTTTTGTTGCAAATAACTCTGAAACATGACAACAGGTAGAATGTCTTTGGAACTAAGAATCCTTATTCCTTTTTCTAAACCATGTGAATCATGTCTAGGTGTTTCCACACCAAATACTGCTGATACCGGACAGCACACCACCACAACCTTAAAAGGATCTATGGCACCCTATGGTGTTGCTCACCCTGTTTGACAATCAGTGGGTTATATGTTTATTTGTTAAACATCAATTCTTAGGATTCTCAATAAATGAACTTTATAACCTTAAGCATTCTTTTTAAATGGGTCATTTAATTTATAATGAAAGCTGTTTGGCAATAATTGAGCTAATGTAATAGCAAACTGATTACTATACAAATACTTTCCTATTGGTGATCTACCATAGTAAGGATTATTTTGATCATTTGAGTAGATTGGGACCCACAAGGTTTGCCAAACTGCTTGTACTTTATGAACCAAAAATATGTGCCTCCTACAGTCCTACCTACAAGTGTAGGTAAAAGTGCAATGGGATCTGATGTATGATCCACACAATTGTGCCTCCTGCCATGCCACATGGAATGATAATTACTTTGCACATGTAGCTGGTCTAAAGTAATTGTTCAGTTAACTAGCTAATTGCATAATACATGGCAGGAGAATCACTTGATTCATGATGATTGTGGGATCATGAATCAGATCCCATCATGCCTTTTTGCCAGTGCAGGGGGAGCCTGACTCCAGGTTCCTCCTGTACTGGCAAGAAAGAAGCTCCTCTGGGAGCCCCTTCAGCTGATGGGACTTCCAACTGAAAGGCACACCATATGCCCCGATGGCTGGGAGCCCCATCAGCTGACCTGAGCTCCCAGTTATGGGAGCTCCCAGCAGGGCTCCCAGCACTGAGACTGCAGCTCTATGCACCCCTGCAACTGGAGCACTGCAACTGAGGACATAGCAGAAGTGCTCAGATCAAAGCCCTGTCAAATTCTCGTGTGAATTCTGTTAAATACCTGTCATCAACAATCTCATCTAGGACACAAGAAGAAGAAAGAAAAAGAAGTAGGAGGAGGAAGAAAGTAGTAATAGTAGTAGTTGTGGTCTCCTAGACACAGGGGCGCTAGGAGCCCTGTCAGCTGATGGGGCTTCCAGCCACAGGGGTGCACATGCCACTCCCCCCCAGAATAGGCCTTTTAGATAGGATGACACATCTACTGTT